TTTAAAGTACCTGGATCACTGCCTGGTAGCACAATTCTTAAGCTAAGAACAAAAATATCACGACAACGTGCGGAACAAAATGAAAACAAATTAGGACGATAGTACTAATAATGAGACTTTACCTACTGAAAGATTCTAGTCAATATACTGTTTTATTGTAATTCTTGAGAAACGAACATGCTGTGTAAGATTGTATTATACTGTTACTTCTACAGTGTTCCTGTAAATATAAATTTAGTATGAGAACAAAAATAATACACCAATAATCTATTATATAAGATTGTAATATATTGGTTATATTAAGATCATGTGTTAAGTATTTTTATTAAAACAATTTTTAGCTCAGTCAGTATTGAAATTAAAGCAACCATTAATGTATAAATAACTTTATTAAGAGTTAAATAAAATATAGAATCATTATGTTATTAAATATGTACATAGAGGTTTACTTATTCGAATTAACTTTACAAGCCTATGTGTAACATGAATTTCATGTGAAATACATTTATCTATATTTAACTATTCACATTTCAATCATTTTTCTAATAGATCTTTTGCTTCATTAATTTTTGCTGCAATATATGGGGATCCACCTCGATCTGGATGATTCACAGACATAATTTTTTTAAACTGTTGCTTTACTTTTGTTTTATTTGCACTTGGTGATACATCTAATATTAAACTAGCTTCACGTCGAGTCATTTTAGATTCAAAACCTCCTCTGTAATATTTACTATTTGCTAGTGTCTAAAATTATATATTATGTTAAATTAATTTTAACAATCATATAACTTATGAATTTTGTATATCTTACCTGTGAATCCAGTTTTGGTATATTTTTGTAAGCTTCTGCCATTGTTTGAGATAGATGTGGCATTCTTCTTAATAAATAACGTCCAGTAAAACCTACTGCAGCAAGGCCTATGCCTGCTACAATAAGTGTACTAGCCTGTAAACATTAGAAACACTAAAAACATGTCCCATAAATTCCGTTTTTTAATCATAAATACCATAATGGAATAAAACACTTATTATTTGAAGATTTTGCTACTAATTTAATTATTTTTATTTAAATAATTACACGTATCCTCAATCTCATTGTTATGCATTATAATATTAAAATATGTTTCCTCATTCCTTTCTTTTTTTCATGAATATCAACATTCATAAAGTCATAATTATTTTTTCACTGTGATGAAACTGTGATGAAATCACGTGCATGTATATACACAAATTCTCGATATTCTGCGTATAATGATAACTCACAAAACGTTTTTAATTTAATGAGAAACAAACAAGAGTCAATTTACAATTATAAATTTCAGTATGATGTAAACTATTTCACAATTGTTACTTTCAATTTAATCTTACCATTTTACTAAAATTGTCAAAAACAATGCGGCACCGTTCGCAGATAATTTAACATTAAATAAAAATATACTTCGGTCATTGAAAAAATAGTATAAAAGACGATCGACTATATTAATTACAAACAATTGAGCAACAACAGCGCTTCAGTGTGAATTCAGTTTTATATTCATGCGTGTTTACCCTTTCTATATATAAATGTTATTTGAACTGACATTTTGCGTAAAATGTAAAATACAATATATTGAAATTTTAATATTTTTGTCAAAAACTTGAAACTGTTCTCCATACAAGAATAGCGATGTTACCAGCATTGAACATGTACAACAACGATTTTTCTTGATACGTAACTGCACAAGCATATGATTCTCCGAGGACTACATGAAATGGACCGCCGAATCTTTTATCTAAATGTTCTTTAATATTTCGAGCCGCAAGTTCATGATTATCGGTATATTTTTCCGTAGCAGTAACGCAGAGTTCCATAGCTTCTTGTTTCATTTCTTCTCGCATATCGCTATACTGTTAAAATTTTAACTAAGTGGTAATATTATCAAAACTGTAAATTTTATATAATGTTAGCAACATTAATTAAAATTAATACCTTGCATAAGGAATACGTATGAAATATTAAAGGTTCTGCCGTCTTTCTCACCTCACCTGCAGACATAATTATTCAGTAAACTTATTTTGATATAATGAACATAAAGAAGTAAAACACAAATGCATAGCCAATAAATTTCATTTGTTATTTTATATAATTGACAAAATATAAAGAAATAATGTAGATAGAGAGTTGATATGGTTGAGTTCAATTTTATGTGTTTCTATTCATAATAATACAAAATTTAATCATGAAAAATGTTGACATATATACATATATATTTAAAAAAATATATCACTAAAATTGTTTAAGTTAATGTAATCTTAAAGTCTTTAAAATTTAAAAGGGTCGTATATGAAATGGACAGGGTACCCTTTTAGAAAGAACCAATAGCTTACTTGAATGCAGGATACAGAGTCCAGTCACTTCTTAGTCTTTTGAAGGGTTGTTACTAGCTTAAGTAACCGCTTTATTTTTGGCGCGAAGTTGTTTTATAGTTATATTTAAAGAAAAGGAACAGAAAGTAGTGTCTATTGAAAAATTATACACGTTTACCAAAAAGAGGTATAATGTTGTAATAATGTTATACGTGATGTCATAAAGTCTCGATAATTTTTTAAACGAACAAACACGAAAACTATATGACACATATGAATAAATATGAATTTAAAAAGCTGTGTAACAAAATTTAATTTATCGTTGACTGAATAACATATTTAATCTATTTTACAGTGATAAATACATTTTACTTAATGATTTGTTAAATTTTAAGACACTATATAACCTATGAATGTTGTTCAGTGGTTCCTACTAATCAAGGTCAAATTTATGTAATTAAAAAGACATTATGCATATATTGGAAATATTTTTTGTATAGTATAAACTTAACAATTAAATATTTAAAAATTTAAAGTTAAACAACCGTCTATATATTTATGAAAAGTTTAATTTTGTTTATAATAAATTGGTTGTTGATATGTTTATAATTTCTTATTATTTACAGATTAATCAGTGTTGTCTATTTTATCATTAGAGTAATATGGAAGATCCAGCTGCTGCACGCTTAAAAAGTTTGGTAGTAAGTAGTAATGAAGCTTTGGAATTTAAATTAGTACGCTCTGCAGAAGACTTAGAAGATGAAGAAACTACATTTAAACCAGAACTGTCTCACCAAGTGTTTGGAGACAGGTTTGT